TTTTTTTTTTTTAAAGTCCGTTGATCTTGCCTTGTTCTAGGTTTTAATATTTATGCTAGTGCCGTTTTTTAACTATCGTTTCGGTTCGATAATTTTCAAGTGTTGTTTTTATTTAGATTAATAGGTTTTCCTTTTATTTTCGCCCCCCCCCCATGAAATATATTGCGTTATTTAATCATTGGTTTTGTTTATTAGTTGATTTAGGAATCGTAATTATTTTTTAAACTTGTTTTTCTTGTCTAAACTTGCAAATTTTTTTATTCTTTTAAATTTTATTTTTCTACAATTTTTTTCCTTTTTAGATTTAGGAGTGCTTTTCTTTTTTCTCTTACTTTAAAATGTGTTTACATTTTTTCCTTGTAATTTGGGTTTGATAAAACATCGATTAACGACACTTTTTTGTCGATCCAGGAAACCGGGAAATTAAGACATCCGGGATAGCGATGGTCCCGAGCATCCCGGATAATTGGTTCTTTATTGTACAGACATTAGTATTGAATTGGTTTTTTAAAATAAAATACTTATTCAATTTGTTTATTTTTTAAAAGTTTTTGTGTATTTTTATTACAGTGTCGGGTTTTTGAATAATGTTTTATTAAGGAAATGGTATTTATTTAAAGAGTATCTACCTAATATAGTTTTGTGTTGCTAAATCTGTGTTTAATTATTTTATTTCCATTTAATATTTTTAAACAATTATTGCTCTATTAGTGTGTAAAATTTCTTGCATTCTTATATTTAATAAATTTTTTACTTAAAATTCCTTAGAAGTGTCAAATATTGCATACCGTGCGCCTTTTTTTATCCCTCCTGAAATCTCCTGAATTCTTGTGAAGGAAACTCCTGAATGTTAATTTTGCTAGGTTGGCACGTCTGAATAACGAAAGATTTCTTATTTTAAAAATAAATAATAAAAAAATAAATAAAATTGAAATTTATCAATATATTTACCTAACTATTTTTTAAATTTTCTTTACCTAAAAAAGTTTTTACTAAAACTTTTTAAAAACTTTAAGTAAATAAAGTAAAAACTTTTTTCTTTATCTAAAAAAGTTTTTACTTTATTCGTAAGAAACGATATAAAGTCGCGACAAAGAAGAAGAAAAAACTAAGAGGTGCGGAAACGAACATGCGAGATCACGATATATGTTCTCATTCTCAAAACTGATTCTGATTCTACTGCTCATCAATCAAGGCCGTTTCAATATATCGATGCATACATCATCTTCCCCAGCGCGAGTTGGCATCGGAACGTAAGAGATCCTTGCCTATCTTGTATCGCTATATCATTCGTCTTCTTTACTCGACGGCTTAAATCAGATTTCTGATGCATCGCCTGGAACGAAAATCGCTGTATCGGCCTGCCGATACAGGCGTTAAATCGATATGTCGCGATATATCGATTTATAGCCCAGTCCTACTCGATACATTAAAAAAAAAAATTTATTGAAAAATAATTTTCAGAAAAATAAATGCTACTAAAAATGGTGTTTCCTCTGCAATACTTTTCAATGCATTTTTATGTTTTTTGGTGCCAGATGTCAAATTTAATTTAAAAAAGTATATTTGAATTGAACCAGATAATCTTGAGGAAACAGTAAATTCTTGGAAATTAATCTTAAAAAATTATTACATAGAACACATGATGCTCTCATTTATTTCATAAATATGTAAAAATTAGTTTGATTGTATTTATTTTAACAAGAAATAAAGAAAAAGCTAAAGTGATGTTTTCGTCAGAAGACTATAATAGTAAAGAACAGGAACTGAAGTGTCAGGGGCAATGAATGTTGAAATCTATCTCATGACCATTACATTGGTTGGTTTTGACTAAAAAATAAATTGAAAATTTTTACAAGCTCACTTTTTCTGTAGAGGAAAGAGAAACCTTGCGTTCAATCCACAATATCTTGATATAAGTTTCTGAGGATGATTCATTGAGTGTTATATCTAACAAAAACATTCATAATGATGCAACATTTGTTATTAGTAATTTTGATGTGATAGGGTTGAAAAATAAAAACAGGTTTTATGTTGCAAAAGTGTCTGCCATATAAAATGATACGGTTGAAGTGCTGTTTTTAAAAAAAATCTAATGATACAGGTGTTTTGTTTGTCTTTCCAGAAAAAAGAAACAGAAAATTATTTTGTTGCTCTAAAACTGCTATTTTTTTTCCTGAAACTACTTTTGATCTACAAAAATTGACTTTTTTTTATTTTCTAAACTAATTAGAAACATTATAATTAAATAAAAATGTGATGTGCAAACTTTGCATTTCCCTTTTTATTTTACAGAGAGGATTCAAAGTACTCTCTGAAGTGTATTAACAAATATTTGAGCTCTCTGTATTGTTTAAAATAATATTTGAGCTTTTATAGTAAAATTTTTTTAATAGTTAAATAGCATTATTCTCTTTAAAAAAATATGCAAACACTCAGCTCATATAAGAGTTGAATTTCCTTTGGAAATATCTATCGCTTACTAAGAACAAAATGTGCCCCCCCCCCACTATATTTCACGCACCATAAGTTCCCTTCACAACATGTTAATAAATTTTTAAAAAATTAGCTGTCAATCGAAAAAAAATTTTACATTTTGTAGCACACAGTATTTTTATTTATTTATTTTTTTGTTGTTAAGTAGACCTAATTCCTTTATTGTTATAATATTGTTACGTATTCCTTTATTGTTATAATGACTCATTTTCTTAACGCTAACATAGGGACAGAAGTTCCACTTGAAATTAGATTTTTAAAAATGCATAGTTTTGCTGTCCCTTCCACTATAGTATTTCTTTAATTTTTAAAAATGCAAAATTTATGAAAAATTTCAAATAGACTTCATTTATACATGAATTTCGCTGAGAAGAATCTGAAAAAATTTTAAAAGTTTATTTTTCATTAAAAATTATTATTTTTAAATAATGAAGCAAAGTGTCCGCTCTGTGACATTTTATTTATCGTGCAATTGCCCACTTTCCTATATCATGAATCACCAATTGCCAGAAATATGAAGAAAAAGGGTAATAAAATTATAAGTAATTATTGAACATTTCATGAAACAAACTGAATAATGTATGAATAATAATTTATTGCAACTAAATAGTAATTAATGATGATAAGTAGTAATTAATAATGTGTTAAGTTGTTAAATTTGCTTTATTTAATTAGTGTATTCTTATTAAAATAAGGGACGAAATAACTTTATGATTATAATGCAGTAGACATACAAGATTTTCCATAATGATTGCTATTAATTTATGTTTTCATAGTCGTTGTTAAAAGGAAGTTAGAATGTAGTAAACACTATGAGAGTCATAAATATTTAAGGGAAAGAAAAATAAATGCTATTGATACCTAAAAAATTGCTATTGAAGAAGTCACAGCCTAAAAACTTTACAATATGTTTGATTTCCAAAAGAAGCAGAAAATGAAATAGGATTTTATGAAGCATCTTCAAATTTCAATGAAACTTGTTTTGGTGTTTTGTGCAAGCACCTTTCACATAATGTTTTTTGTTTATTTTTAACCTTGTTTGCTTATAAATACTAATGTGTCCCTATATTTTGGAGTCAGAAATCCAAATCAATTGAAAAAAGGCATGTTTATTCAAAAAAAGAAAGTTTTTGCGTCTGATTTTGTAACTTAAAATATCGTCTGCAGTTATTAATTAGAATATATCAAGAAACCCCTTCGACCCATTCCGATTAAGAACGTGAAGATCCAATCATTAGTTCAAAATTTATTGAGAGAGATTTTTTTTTCCCGCACTGTACGTAAGTATTTGTGAAATATTAGTTTAAAATTTAAAATATTTTTTTCAGTGAAAAAATATTTTATACAGTTATATATGCATTCACCTGCAATATTATATACGTTCACCTGCCAGTTCATTAAAACTTTTTTTTATGTAAATTAGAAATTTTGTTGGCCAAAGGGACTGTAATGTTGTGCTCTTTATAATAGAAAACAATGATAAAAATATATTTGATTATACAAAATGTCATTTTATTTGTTGTGTGTACTGATTTGAAATGGTATTTGCAGTGCTCTCATGCATCTGTTATGGCTTATCAGAATTCTTCTAGAAAATCTCCCAGTGCCCTGAAAAAATGGATGAGCTACGGACAAAGAAAAGTAGTTGTTAAAGTGGATGATGAACAGACTTTGTAAGTAATTTATTATTTTTAATTTATTTGTTCTGCAATCTATTTAATTATTGATTTTCAATATACTTAGTAAAAATATTTTGTGTTCAATAAATGTATTTGACTAATAGTTTTTTCCCCTTTTTCTTTTAAAGATTTCCAATTTCTTACATGATATTCAGATTTGACTATTTATATTTAATATATAGTATGAATAAAGTCCAAGTTATATAGAAATATTTCATACATACAATACCGATGTGAAGGCATGTTACATCTTATGGGGTCATTCTAGTCACTTCTAGTGTGCGTTTTAAGATATTAAATCAATGTTTGTCAAATTTTGCTCTTGAGCTATAACCAAATGTAGCTATTAAAAGTCAATAAAAAATGCTTTTGTTCTTTTCTCCAACCCCTATGAATTATTTTCCAGTGCATAGCTGAATTTAAAAATCATGATAAAAAAAATTTGATTTAAGTTTTAAGTGTAACATCAAATGTAAAGTTTAGTTAAGTTTAATTGCATGAGTTACACATTTATAGCTTTTTATCACCAATAGAATGTTTTCTATTTTGATCTTAAGAAATAGTTTATTAGAAAAATTTTCTAAAAAGTTCTTTATTTTACTGTGGCATTAAATTTTATAATTGAAATATTTTAATTTTCGTATTTAATAATCCAAAATATCATCGATATCAGATTTTACTGGCTTTATTATTATTCACAAAATATTATTAAAAGTGTTTTTTTTTTTTGATTGCTTGTTTGAATTAATTATTGTATCTACTTAGTACTACGATGGTTGCTTTTTAAGTAAGGGCTGTTTTGTTGTGCACACTAATAGGTGGAGCGTGTGTGTCGCACAGAGTGCTAGTGTTGCAGCTGTGTAGGAAAACTGTGTGGTCAGTTCTGTGTCTTTAAAATAATCAAGTTTAACAACTCTCCCGTCACGCATGAGATATAGTCAGTAATGCATTTTTAGTCGGCAAAAAACCTGTCTGCCGCGCTGATATGGAATTTTGTGCTGAGTGATTTTCAAATCTTCCGATATCATTTCGGCTGCAATTACTACAGTGATGACGAATATGTGAAAATGATCGTGACCTCTTTGTTAACGGAGCAGGCGGCAACTTTGCACGAAGAGGGTATTCTAAATCTAGTTGTAAGTTATGATAAGTGTTTAAACAAACTTGGCAACTATGCTTAAAAAATGAGAAACGCATGTCAAATCTGAAAATAAATTTGTTGCATAAAGATTTTCTTTCGTTTGGTTTATATTTTCAAACGGCCCTTATTTAAAAAAAACAGCCCTCATATTATATGAATGGAAATAAGATTATGATGCATTTCAATGGTTTGCTAAATTTATGAGCAATGAGGAAACAGAATTTTTAACCCATAATTCAAACTTTGGTTGCCTATACAGAAAAACAAGTATTCCATTCTTTGAATTGTACACACATAATTGGTCTTTATTTATGATACAAACAAGTCTGAGTTGTTAAATTTCTTCCACTGTGGAAATGCTGCCTTGAGAGATATTAGTTTTTTTTTTAAATAGGGATAAATTATTATTTTTATTTTATTTATTATATACTTATGCTGTTTTTTTATGTCTTCTTATTAAATGACATTGATTTTTCCCCCCAGATTATGTGTTGCAAAAGATGCTAAAGAATCTGGTCTAATTGTAAGCTTAGTTTGTGATGCTGGAAAGACACAAATTCCTGCAGGAAGTAAAACTGTATTAGCAGTTGGACCTGGTGAGCATCATTTTTTTAATAGTAAAAGACTATTAAACAGTGCAATGTATGTTTAATACTATATTAAATGTACACTGCGTTTTGTAAGATAAAGTAATTCTGTCCTACCAATCTTTCGTCGATTGTGTAAACAAATAAATAATTTGTGATAAATTTCATGAATTTTATATTTGATGTGTAAAATATAAAAATAGATTGGTAAATTATTGTAAAAAAAATTTGTATCATTGTTAATATAAACAATTCATTAACAATGATAACCTGAAAACATTAAAATGCTATTTTACATTTGTCTCTAATGAGACTAATTCTCTGATAGTAAAGTATATATCTATTATCTCAAATGATGTAATAAAGAGCTTGTGTGTGTCTCTCTCTTAGACTTGTGTGTGTCTCTCTCTTAGACTGATTGTGTAAACAAATAAATAATTTGTGATAAATTTCATGAATTTTATATTTGATGTGTAAAATATAAAAATAGATTGGTAAATTAAGTTAAAAAAATTTGAATCATTGTTAATATAAACAATTCATTAACAATGATAACCTGAAAACATTAAAATACTATTTTACATTTGTCTCTAATGAGACTAATTCTCTGATAGTAAAGTATATATGTATTATCTCAAATGATGGAATAAAGAGCTTGTGTGTTTCTCTCTCTTAGACTTTCTTCTCTTAAACTTAGAACTCCAGAACTGTTTGTGACCTTAATCCACAAATTTGTACAGTGGATGAAAGGGGTAATTTTAGTCTCCAAGCATAAAGATCGTTCAAAAATTTCAATTTCAAATCTTCTTGAGAATCTAAGAAAAGGAAAAAAAAAATTTTTTTTATTGGCTTAGAACTTACCATTGACAGAAATTAGACTGCAAACAATTTTGTTTTTCAAATAATTTAAAAATAGCATCAGTGACGTTTGCTAGCTTATAGCTGTCATTAATAAAAATAATAAAAAAAACTCATTGCACTCTCTAAAACATTTAATTATTTTTTATTTTGTTATGTCAGATAATCTGAACGTTCAATATTAGAATGTGGTAACATAGGCAAACTACGTTAGCAAATTAGTTTTTCTAAATGTATCAGAATGAAGTTTATTTCGTTTATTGTAACATAAAAAAAAAATTATTTGTTTTCTTTATTTATGAGTTTAATGAGATTTATTCTCATAGACCTGAAAATCTCATCTAAGTTATTCATTTGATTAATTTCATTACTTCATGACTCTTTTTAGATGGTTTAGAAATATAATTTGTTTCTTTTGTTTTTTTTATTTTATGAGAATAATTTTTTTACTGTAAATATCATTCTCATTTAACTTGGGCAGAGAAAGTTGAGGAGCTTTATTAATTTGGAAGAATCAAGTTATTTCATTAAACTACCCCCAAAATCAGGGGATCTGTTTAATTTGGGTCTGAGGTACCTAAAAGTAAAATATTTTATCTGTAATATATTAATAAATAGGTATAACCCAAAACATTTATTTTTCTTTTTTAATGCATCTCTTTTTAAAGCAAAAAGTTGTTTAACGCTTACACAATCAAAATCCAAAGAATTTCATCATCAACATTTATGCAAACTGACAACCAATGTTTCCAGTAATTGTAATGTTTTCTCTTGCTATACTTGTTTTATTATAAGTAGTAGAGAGCAAAAAAGAAATATGTTGCGCTGTCTCTTTTCTGCTATCTAAATTCTTACATGTGATATGCTTTTTCTATTGTATTCTTTCAGTTTTTATATTTCTTAAATTATTTATTTTCTAGTTCAATTTAAAAAAAAAGTTTTTTTTTTATTGTATATTTCAGTTGTTATTTACTAATAAAGTAATTTAATGACTTTTGTTTAAATTATCGGAACTGTGTGCCCATCTTAATAAGAGTAACTTTACATATGCTAATTATTTTTGAAATAAGTGAACAGTCACAAAGACGGCATTTCTGCAAATAAAAGTGTTTTTTTCAACGAATTTGGTTTTTAGACCATCAAAATATGGGGGTAGCTGCAATTTGGAAAATATGACTCTAATAGTTTAGCCAGAAAAATGGCCAAAAGTTTTCGTCCTTTAATGTGAATTTCACATATCCTAAGAAGTTTTTAAGCAAATCAAAAATACCACCTATGGACTGTTGATGTGCAGCCCGCAAGAACCACTAAGCAAAATAATTTTAAAAAACATTTTGAAAAATAAGGCAACAATTTTGAAACCTAGCAAAATTTTAAAGTGCTCAATTTAAGCAGATTCTATTGTAAATCTGCATTGTTTTTTGACCGCTTTTTCAAAGGTTATTCCTATGAAGAAAAGAACTCTATAAGAAGCTGGATATTTTTAATATGATATTACGATGTGTACATTTCAAATTTATGTAATTGCTTTTTGCCTAACTTTAATGTCTCTGGATTCATCATAAATTCTAGTGATGTTTTGGTTGTTATTTTAGCAATTATAACCAGCTCTTTCCATGTGGTTTAAAAGTTTGTTTATTATTATATTGCCACTCGTGAGTTAAAGGTTGCGAATTTAATTTATCATTTTTTGACATGTTTTATTTCTGCCAATTTCATCATAAATTTAAATGCCTTTCGATTTTTTTAAAGGCAGTTATTACTACGCTTTTCCATGTGATTTTGAAAATCTGGTATTTTTGCTACGATATTATTACGAGATCCAAGTTCAAATCGCATATTTAAATTATCACTTTTTGATACAATTAACCCCTTAACTTGTGCGCTCGAGTAAATTCGAGCTCGCCAAACAGGCCAAACTGTGCACACTCGGGATAATTCGAGCGACATTGTATTTTATGCTGCTATAATTTTTCACACTCTAATATAATCAAGAATTGAAAATAACAATGTGAAAGCTAAGAAAAAAAATTGTTTTATTGATATTATCATTTACATAGGATTGTAAGCTATAACACTTATTTACTCACGAATAAAATATAGCTTTTTTCCATGGAACAAAAGCGCAGTATATCAAAGTCTACCAAAAGAAAAGTTGAGCCAGGAGCGATAACAAATGGAAACCTTGTTCTAAAGTGTGTTTTTTTACATTAAAAAATAAATGTTTTTTTTACCGTTTTTTTCCTCAAAAACTCTGTGCATTAAGGAGTTAACCTGTGCATATTTCATCCTAAATATAAGTTGTTTTTCCATCATTTTTTCTTCAGTGCCATATATTTGCAGATACTATTTAGAATTCTGATATTTTAATACAACATTATTGCTACAAGGAAAACTAGAAAAGTGGAAGGAAACTTGAATTTTTAAACTGCTCACTGTTTGTAATTTTTAAAAAAAAATTTTTTAGCTATGGGGATTTTACCGAAAGAAAACATTTCCTATTTAAAATTCCATAAAACCTCTGAAAATAAAAAAATTAGAAATAATATCTGAAGTCTGAAATTGTTATTTAATATGGAATCTAATTTTGTACTATAATAGTTTTGTACTATAATAGTTTTGTACTATAATAGTTTTGTTTTAATCTTTGGTTTTTGTTTGAACTCTATAAATTTTCTTTTAAAATATTTAATTTACTTTTTTGTTACTCATTGAAACACATCTGTATTTTTTTAACACTTCCATTTTGTGACCATTAAAGTTTTTTTTTTTTTTGTTAGAATTTATATTTTTTCTCTCCAATATTTATATACAGATATATATACATATTTTTTTTTGATAAATCAATTATTGATAAAAAAGGTACTTTTTTTTTAAAAAAGCACGTTTTTTCTTTTTTGAATGAATTCTAATAATTAAAAATAATTTTCTGCAAATACCTTACTAAGTTTACTGAAAAAAAATTTAATTCTTAGAACAATAATGTTTACATAAAAATTATGATATTTGCCTCCAACATGACTTGATAGTCCAGTTGCGGCGCAAGTGGTATTTGACTGAAAAGGGTTGTGAATTCCTAACTGAAGGAATTACTATTAGCACTTAATCAATTATTTTATTAGATTGGCATTAGCCATTAAGATTGGCATTTTGTTTGGAAAAATCTGACCATTATTCAGTGTGATGTTTTTTTCCCCACTCACTTTACATGAATAAGTTATCTCAAAAATGTATGCAACCAGTTACCAAAATCAAGGAAATTTGATCTTATCAGTCTGTGAGAGAAAAAGAAATTCCTGAAAAAAGTTTTGAATTTTTTCACAACTTTAATACAGTACGTTATTGTACCTTGTAAAAAAAGAATACAATGAAAAAAAAATGAATGAATGAAAAATACCACCTTGTAAAAAATGAGGACAATTTTTTATAAGGAGGCATTAGTTACTAGACAATAATAGAATTCTTTTATTTAAGAGTGATAGAAACGGCTATTTGTAAAACATGTCCTGAGAGGTGGGGGGGGGTGAGGAATGCTAAAGGGGTTTTCTGTTCATTTTGTCTTTTGGTAGTCATTACTTTCCATGATTGTGTAATTTATTAATAAACATTGAGTATTTTTGCAATAGTTATTTGTCTTAACCTCTACTTTTTCACTTCCATTAAAATGATAGGGTAAAGTTTGGTTTTCTATTTCTTGTTCCTGTCATAATTTCGGGCTCCAGTTTTTGAAAGTAATGAGCCAAAGAGATTAAAACAATCTTCTTCTTATATCTAAAATCATATTTATTCCCTCATTTAGACAGCAGGTGGCAGCACTAAACTATTTGTAATTTGTTTAGAGATATTTCATTTTAAACTAGATGTCAGCACTCATGAAACATGTATATTTGTGATATGTTTCTTGTAATCCCGGAATTTGAAAATAGATATATTCGTTGTTTTATATAATTTTCGTGAATAAAGAAATAGATATTTTTACTTACATTATAATAGATATTTTTATTTATATTTATAGACTGTTTTTTTTCTTCTTTCATTGAGGGGTTAATAAGTGTAACATGTGTTTTTAATTATATGGGAATGGGTGTAAGAAATGAAACTTGTCTGGCTATTTAGTTTTTCTGACCTGCCTTCTGCCGTATGAGACTAGA